TTCTTTACACTTACTTTCGAATTAGCTATATGCGTTTGCACCATCTTTACACTTGTACCACGGACTGTCACACTCTGTAACACGATGCTAGCTCATCGCACTTATGCAGTGCCAATCATTGTGCTATTTTGAGCTACACTTGTCTCTCTGAAATAAAAACAGAAATTAGCAATTAAATTCTACCACTTTAAAAATTACAATATTTTTTGTTTCCTCCAAATGTGGTGATATTAACAAATCTTATTAATAATTTTCAATAGGGAGTTTCTTTTCACACATCTGGTAGATCACACAACTGTCGATCAAAAAGACCCAATCTCCTCTACAATTCTAATTAATGTTGATATGGATAACATTTTTGAGAAGAACCTGTTTGTTGACAAGTATAGTTGCAATTTAAATAAACATAACATTTCCCCTTCTCAATTGAAAGGTAGATTACTTCAAACAGTCATTTTCTATAGCTTCTTCAATTTCAAATTCTTAGCCAGATCCTAGGATTTTTCAGCCTTTTCAGGTTCATCAGAATCCACTTTTGTATCGTATGGAAGGGCAAAATCAATAATTTGGCGCTTTATGCTATTTTCCTTATCAATCACAATAAGACCGGGTCTTCGTGCTTCAATAACATCACAGTTCTAGACAAAGAAACCATATATCTTGTAACCAACATTTTCTACGAATGCACCTGCCTGATATACATGATATATCTCTCGCCCATTGAAGCCAAATTCATGGCATTTTCCCCAATGGATTCTTTTACCAATCGATTCATGTTGTCCCTAAGCTTTGTATGCTATTATTATTATTATTATTATTATTATTATTATTATTATTATTATTAATTTCCTTTGATTTCTGGTGCGTACACATTTCTTTTCGAGACCCACTCAGAGACCTGAGGTCAGAAATGGCAAAATGATATTTTCCACTGAGAAATTAATTGTTACCAGGTCCACCCTAACCGGGATGTTAGTACCTGTTAGGGTCCCAGATATGGTTAAATAGTGACCTCCCAACAAAAACAAACAGTACAGTTTTATAATAAAATGACCAACAATGCATTTTAATAGCAAACTGATAATCAATGCAACACTAAAAAAAAATCAGAAATAAATATTGATAGTAAAATCACCAACAATGCATTTTATGATCTACAAAATGTATATCTAAAAAACATACCTTTACACTGAAAGTATAAAACTATGTAGAAAATATCTGTAGTTAAAAGCATAAATCTCCTCTACAACTCTAATTAATATTGATATGGATAATATTCTTAGAAGAAGCTGTTTGATGACAATTATAGTTGTATATTTCCTATCGTTGCCAATGCCCTGAGTTGCAATTTAAATAAACATAACATTTCCCCTTCTCAGTTGAAAGGTAGATTACTTCAAACAGTCATTTTCTATAGCTTCTTCAATTTCAAATTCTTAGCCAGATCCTAGGATTTTTCTGCCTTTTCAGGTTCATCAGAATCCACTCTTGTATAGTATGGAAGGGCAAAATCAATAATTTGACGCTTTATGCTATTTT